TTATTTTTTACCTCTTCAATAGAAACATAATCTTTTACCTCTTCCATAGAAACGTCATCTTCTACTTCTTTAATGAAAAAGTCATCTTCTAAATCCATTGGTTGTTTCCTTTTTTTTTTCTTTTTTTTTTTTTGCTTTTTCTGAATGAAAGAAGATTGAAAGATGAGTTAGGGTTTAAGGTAGACTGAGCATGGAACCCAACTTTTTTTTTTAACACATGGACAATTTGAAATTAAAAAATCCAATAAAAGGTGGATGGGAAGATAAGACATTAGAATGAGAATAACGTCACTCTTTTTGAAATTCTTGAGGGGCAATTTATGGTATTTTGAATGCTTCAGCATTTTGGAGCGCTCACTTTATACATATAGATTATATCACTTTTACCTTACATTAGTTTTTATACCCACAACACTTTAAAAATACAGTTTATCAAATGCTAATTTGCTTTATTTTACAAATGATTATTTTTAACGGACAACATAAATAATTTATAAAAAAAAAACACAGCAATCTCAAACTAGCCCCTATATGATAAATGCAAATAATTAAACAATATTGGTGCGGCCAATAATTAATTAAGCAGCTTATTCAATCAACATTCTCCAATTTACCACGAGCGACTAACCATTGGACTTGCAACAGTATAATGGACATACGGTGCTTGTCCACTAACAAGATATATATCTTCAAGATTGATATTATATGTTTACTTACGTAGTCCTTAATTAAATTATAATGCATTATTGTCCTAATTTTTGGATTTGGATCCATCCTCTTTGTGAGAGTCCTAGGGATCCTTCATCCTATCCGTTTATCGTACATTGTGCAGTCAGAAATTATTATTAAGTTTTTATTTAAAATTAAACACAAACCGTACTTAACGAAAGCTGACTAAGCTGACCGCATGATGTACGATGAACGGATAAGATCCTAAGAATCCTCATCCTAATCTTTTGCAGATCAGGTTGGTAGAGTGGTAATTATAATATACATGTATGCTTATGTCACAGGCCCGCATAATTTCAATATCAAGGAAGATTCAAACACGAGACTTCGGGTGCAAGAATAAACGGTTTTAAACACTTGAACTACAAGTCATTGTCTTAATCTAGCTATGATTCCATATATAAAAAGTAGATGAACATTATGAGAATTTACAAATTACAAACCTAAGAAGCAACAGCCATAAGGTCCCCCTACAATGGAAATGCCATTTCACACCATTGACCTAGACAGCAAACTCCAAGCAAAGGAAAATAAACATCACACTTTTTCAGAGACAGTTTGATTCCCCAATATATCACATGAAAAAAAGGCCCCATCTCCAACTCCAACCACTTTTAGGAAATGGCATTTGGCCTCCCTGCAGATACAGAGTGCAAAAAGTTGTATATATGATATGAACCGAAAATCCCACTATGCTCATGTATAGGATACATCGGAGCATAATAGAAAATCTCGACGTAAACTTAAACTCATAACGCACAAACAAAATCACCACTTGTCTCTATATCATCTATTTCAGCGTCGTCTATCTCATCAAGATCCATGCTCCCAAGTAAATGTCCCCCATATTTGGTGCCGTTCGCAGCAGGTTTTCTAGCTTCTTGAATTATTGCCAATATTTCTTCATTGCTTTGGGATGATGATTCATAATTTTGGTTATTGTTTGGGAGGCCAATTTCTTCCATGAATTCTACTGGGATGTTTTTTAGAAACCACGGATGCTGCTTTATTTCCGGGATAGTTATTCTCTGCACCAAATACAACGATTGACAATCAACCACGTGTGTATAACGACGACTGTTGTTAGAGAAGCAAAACAAAGGGTATAAAGTATAAAGACTAAAAAAGAGTGACAAAAGGATTTTCTTTCTAAGGGCGGTTGTAAGCTATCTACACACATCAACAGTTGACAATTAAGTCGTGCACAACGATGGCTGTTATAGGCGAATAAAAAAAAGAGCATTAAAGTATAAAGACTCGAACAAAGTTACAGTAGGTTTTCTGTCGTTTTAGGCAGGGTTGTCAGCCGTATGCATACATCCACGACTGACAATTAACGACATACATACCGGTGATTGTGAGTGCAAGGAATAATACCTTTTCCGGGTTAGCAACGAAGATTCGAGAAAGCAGATGTCTGCATTCCATGGAAACACGTACATAGGCCGGAATTGAATAGTGGACACTAAGAATCCTCTGCAATAAGCCATTATCAAATTATAGTTGTTCGGCGACAACATCGAAAGGCATAGCAATAGGCGAAACAAAAACGGTACAAGTAGCACAAGGATATACATGTACCTGAAGTGTTTTTCTGAAATTTCTTGGATCTTCTGGATCTTCAAAGGGATAAGCACCAACAAGCATGACATACAAGGTAACCCCACATGACCAAACATCCGCAATCTAAGATTCTCAAAGGATAAAAAAATGAGTGAGAAAACATGGATGTTAGTTAGGTGACCAAATAGTTGGTCAAAAAATGACGAGGACAAGACCAACAGAACATGAAAACAAACCAGCCTTAGAAAAAATGTTACCTTGCCATCATACCCTTTTCTTGACAGGACTTCCGGTGCAATGTATGCCGGTGTTCCAACAGTTGATTTCGGTTGGGAATGCAACACAGATGACTATAAGATGCAGAAGAAAAGTAATTACCATATGAAATAGAAATTCACTATACGAATTGCAGTCAATTACTAGTAAATTGCCTTGGAATAACCAAAGTCGCAAATTTTGAGACGCGGGGCTGAGCTTCCATCCAGAAGAGTGTTCTCCAATTTAAGATCTCTGTGGCAAATTTGCTGCAAGACAAGAAAAAAATAATATCATAAGCTGGAAGAATCACAAATCATACCATGATTTGGTGGGTTGAGGGTTTTACCATTGAATGACAATAGCTGACTCCTGATATGAGCTGTTGAAAGAAATATCTTGCTTCGTCCTCACTGAATCGACCAGCATTGCATATTCTTTCGAAAAGTTCACCTCCAGCTGCATATTCCATCACAATTGCTAAATCGTTTGGTGTCAACAACACCTGCAAAAATTAATTGATAATTAGTAAACAAATCAAAATACGTACAGATTCGAAAATTCCCATTTGTTTTCAAACATGCTGAACCCTAGAAATTAATAACAAATAGTTACGCAGAGGAATTGAAAGGAAAAAAAGGTGATAAATAAGCATGAATATTTACTTTAAATCAAGTGGAATTAAAAGTTAAAGACAAAAAGTAGTCTGATTATTCTCTAATAATTTATCAAGTTGCACACACCACTAACATAACTTGCAAGTTGCAATTAACCCTTTATTCTCACCGCAGAGGTTAATTCCAATACAATTTCACAAATAAGAAATCAACATACCTCTTTAAATCTTATTATATTCGGATGCTTCAAGGACCTGTGGTTCATAATCTCCCTCTGTACATGCTCATCAATCTATAAAACACACACAAACCCAGTTGGATTTAACACAAACCAAGTTCATAAAAACGAACAAACTGATAAAATCCCACCTGGGAAAACAAAGACAACGATTAAAACTTGAAAAAAATAGTTGAAATATGCAGAAAATTAATAAATAATTAATCACCTTCTGGCCTCTCTCAATAAACTTGATAGCAAAGAGCTCGCCACTCCATTTGTCCTTCACCAGCTTCGCAACCCCAAAATTCCCAGACCCAATATCCTTCACTATCTCATACCTTTCCATTGCTTTCTCTCTCTAAACTCTCTCTTTCTCTCTCTTAAATCGTCTGTAAATTCACTTCTCTGCTTTCATGGAGTTTTTAGTTCTCAACTGGCAGCAATGCCAAAGTATGGAAACCTTATTGGGTTAGCCAGCTACCTATATCCTCTTCTTCTCCTCTCTCTCTCTCTCTCTCCCTCCCTCTCCCCCTTTGCTCCAGTGGCTCTCTCCGTCTTAAAAGTCGTCGTGGAATTAACAAAAGAGACAATAGAACCAGAAGCTCCACGTGTCAATTAGGCAGTGGTCGTGATCTCGAGCAGACCTAAGCGAGTTGTGACCGACTACGTGGGTTTTGTACTAGCGGTTACAACTTTACGACGTGTCGTTTTGAGAATGCTGTTTGGCAGCTGTTGGTTTAAACTTGGCGGGTAAAAGTTTTGGCTACCCCCAGCGAGTGGGACAACAATTTTTTGGGGTTTACGAGGAGAGGGGATAAGTTAACTGGAAGGAGGAGTGTGGGACCAAAAGATGACGTGGACGGTGGACGGTGGACTGTGGAGGTGGAAGGGCAGTGAGATTGTGGTGTGCAAAGTTGATGGGCGGGACCACACACTTTATATTGCGGTGTGGCTTTCTCCTCTCATCTTTCTTGGGATTTGGAATTTGGAACGAATAAGCAATCAGATTGGTTGGCATTTTGCACACACTAAAAACGTTGGTTTCGTGTTAGCCGTTGCTTCATCACAAAGGCAACAGACCCTCCATCTAAAGGATCCCCATTTTATTAATAAAAATAGGAACCTGTTGTAAGACTCAACTATATGAATTGTTTATTTATAGATAATTTTTATATAAAAATCAATACAATCTTAAACTATTTGCTCATTTGATTATCATAATGAAATTACAATATTTCTTAGAATATAGTGTTCGTCAATTTCTTTGAACTCGATTAAATGTCTTAACAATTTCCAATTTGGCTAATGTTTTGGAATGATGATTTATACAGTGAAACTTGAAAAATAGATAGCTTGGATCGTTCGTTCTATGTGAAGTGAACCCCACAACTAGTTCTCATTTTTACCAAAAAATAAGGCCCCTGAAAGGATGATCACCCCACACTTGTGCAAATATTTTTTAATTAATCCGAAACACAACACACCAATTTCATAATCCAAATGAATAGACGTACACTAAAAAAAAAAAAAAAAACTTATTATCACTTAGTGGCGGAGCCAGGAATTTAAGACAATGGGGTCAAAAAATAGCTTTCAAAAATTGATCATACTTTCATTCATAATTGTCCACGACGTGTTCTCATATTTTGGAAACGTCGTATTACAACATCATTACTAATAGAATCATATACATCTTTCTCAATGTACACAACCAAACTATCATTCAACCATTGATCACCCATCCTATTACGATGTGGATTCTTCACAATTTTCATCACCGAAAAAGCTCTTTCAACTGAAGCAGTCGCAACAGGTAAAATCAATGCTAATTTCACTAGCAAGTACACCAAGGGATACTGTCTATCCCTCTTTGTCTCCACCAACTTTTGTGCAAGGTTATTAATTCCTTTCAACGCAAAAAATTCATTATGCAAACGCATATCAAATATATAATTCTTCATTTCATCTTCAAGAAGTGTGAGCTCCATATCAGAAAAATCCTTTGGATAAAATTCAGCAAGTCGAACTAACTTTTCAATGTCAAAAGCTGAGAATGAGTCATCTGGGCTTAAGCATGCAACACAAAGAAGCAACTCTGTACTTGTCTCATTAAAACGATTGTTCAACTCTTGAAGTTGCTTATTAATAACATCAATAAAGAGATCAACACGGTAGTGATGAAGGTTTGTCAATTTTTCAACTCTACGCCGTGACCTCCCTCGAGCTACAAAGATGTCATTCATATCAGGAATATCAATATCATGCTTGCCACAAAAAGAAGAAACTTTATCAAGCCAAGCATCCCATCCATTATCCCTCATCGCTTGTAGTTGTTGCTTACATGCTTTGACTAAAGCCATAGCACTCACTATATCGAGATCTTTCTTTTGCAATGCATGTGACAACACATTTGTGATTCCCAATATTTCTTTCATCAGAAAGAGACTCGAGACAAAATCAAAAGATTACAAAAGATACAACAAAATATCCGCTTCACCTCTTTAATCAAGACTTACACCATCATCTACAATCATCTCAAGCACCTCAATTACAGAAGAAAACATATTAACCAAGCTTACCAAGGTACCATAGTGTGAGCCCCAACGTGTATCACTTGCACGTTTAAAACTAGTTTCTTGGTTCAAGCCTTGCCCACTTGGAAGCTCATAATTTTGAATAGCTTCCATAACTTTGGTTTGTTGTCTTTCTCTAACCATGTCTCGACATTTACATGATGCTCCGACAATAGTAACGACATTATTAACCAAGCTAAAAAAAGAGCCAATTTGAATATGATTTTTCGCCACGGCTACAAGAGCAAGTTGAAGTTGATGTGCAAAGCAATGAATATAAAATGCACTTTCATTTTCTTTCAAAATAAGTGTCTTAAGGCCATTAAACTCACCTTGCATATTGCTAGCCCCATCATAACCTTGTCCACGCAATCTAGATATGCTTAATCCGTTTATAGAGAAGAATTGATCAATTTCCTCTTTAAGTGAAATAGCAGTGGTATTAGGAACATGCTTTATGCCCACAAATCTTTCAACTACTTGTCCGTTGGTATTCACACAGCGAAGTACAACTGCCATTTCCTCCTTGACTGATATATCACGCGATTCATCAACCAAAACAGAAAAGAAAGCATTATCACCAATATCAAACATGATAGCATTAGTGGTTTCACATGCTGCTGCATACACAAGATCTTTTTGAATATCAGGTGATGTTAACTTGAGATTTTTAGGAGCATTTTTAAACACCACATCTTTAATACCCTCATTATGATCTGCGAGAAACTTCAAAAGCTCAAGAAAATTACCCTTATTGCTTGAATCTTCACTTTCATCATGACCGCGAAAAGCAAGACCTTGTCGCAATAAAAAGCGAATGCAATCAAGTGATGCATTCAAACGAGTGCGATAATCAATACGTGCTTGATCCAACTGCTTGTGAACAATTGTTTGAATATGTTGATTCTGATTCATTAAAGCTTCACAATGAAGTAAAGCTTGGTTGTGAGCATTATTAGGGCCTCCAACATGAACTCGAAGTCGACATTTTTTCTTCCAATTATGAAAACCTTTACTAGTAAAATTGTCATTACCTGCTTGGTCTAGAATCTCAAGCTTGAAGATAACAACTTTGACAAAAAACAGCATTTTTGGATATGCTATACTCCAACCAAGTAGGAAAGTCATCAAACCATTTCGGATTGAAACGACGTTGTACTGCTGCAAATGAAGTATATGGAAATTGATGGGTTCGAGGTTGAACCAATTCCCTTTGTAAATAAGCTCTTCGAACCTGATCTCTAATATTTGGATCATATTCTGATATCTGGAGTCGAAGCCCAGGATCTCCTGGAAGATTTGCCAGTATACTTTCTATGTTATTTTCATTTGAACTTTCAGGAATATCCGTTGTAGAGGGTGAGATGTTATCTTCGGTTGATTTTCTCTTAAAATACCTCTCCATAACTGTTTTAAATAATACCAAAAAGAGTCAACAACATAATATAACTAAATTATACTACATTCAAGAACTTTTTTCATGCCCGATGTTATAAATGGATATATGAGGATGATACTCTGCCCTTCTCAGACCTAATTCTAAACTGGAATTACTCTTAGACCTAATCCTTATTTTATTCATAACTGAAATTGAATGAAACCCTAAAAATCACAAGAAATCTAAGATAACAAAATTACCAATGATTGGAAATTTGGAGTGGAGGTACCTGATTAATTGACGAACAGAGAAACTTGAAATTTGAATGGATATGGTGCCAGTGCTATGGTGGAGTCGCGCAAGCAGAGGGAAAACCTCAAATGTGTTGTGGTGGACCAACCGTTGAATGTTAAAATAGAAAAAGTATTAATTAAAAATTATTTTTTATTTTCTTATATATTGTTGCTGCTTAGCCGAAGAGGTTACATGTGGGCTCACATGTTTCATGTTGGGTCACCCAACTTGAACTTGGGTCAATATTTCTTGGCAATGTGGCCCACGCAACCAAGATTGCTATTGTGACTTTCTGTTGCTGGAGCTGCTGTTGCAGTGCTATTAAAGGGGTCAAATTTTTATTTAAAGGGACAAATTACAGATCCATTGGGGTCAAGGGAGCCCAATGCCCCTGCATTGGCTCCGCTAGTGTTATCACTTATATTATGACCACTATTCTAAAAATTCCCACCTAGACCCCGTTTAGCATTGCCTTGGTCTTGCTTAGGCATTAGGCAACTGGCCACCGTTCCGATTAATTCCTAGGTATTTGAAAATTAAGATATGACATATAGACCTGCTTAGGTAAGCCTATTCAACTCAGACCCACCTAGGTCATGACTCTCACTTAAACATAAACTAGATAACTCTCATATTGCAATTTATTTTTTTAATAAATTGTAAGAGACTTATTGAATACTTTGATGAAAACACATTATATGCTTGTTTCCGTGTTTCATTATGTTCTAAAACTTTATAATCTATATGTCATTCTATTTTGCAATTTATATATCATATTCGCAATTATGTTTTTCAAGATTAATTAGGGAGTTGGAGCAAGTGATGTGTTGCTCCGTTAAAAAATGCAATCCCACATCAAAACTTTGATATATATTGCTACTTGTAAATGAATGATTTTCTTGTAAATAACACCAAGGTTTTTTGTTTTAAAATCTTTTAATCCCGGTCTGTGTATGTGGTTAAGTTGAGATATTATCTATGTGAGTTATAGTAGACAAATGACTCGACTTTGAAATCTTGACACATTGCTCTGGTAGAGCATTAGGAGCCAAAATAATCACAAAGCGACACGTGGATTTTTGGGTGAAGGTGACAAATTTACCCTCGAGGCATACCGGGTCTCCTACACGCGAGCAGTGGAGAATCATCCATCAACCAAATCTGGAGTACCCAAAATAGGTAACAAGTTCAAATTTGTCTCATCCATCCTCATTCCATAACCTCCAAAAACCTCCCAAAACATTTCTTTTATTATGATAATTAGCCAATTAATATATTTATACCTAATTAATATATTAATTGCTAATTGAATCACCAAAGAACTCCTAAATTCAATCTAAATCAAGAACCCTATACCTATAAATAGGCTCCCATTCTCACCAAAAACCTAAGTCCTCACTCTTGCTAAAATTCTCCAAAGCTCTCAAACACTTTTCTCTCAAAATTCTAACTTTGGCATCAGAGGTTCTTCGGCCAAAGCCCCCTCCATTCATCGTGGGCGCGTGAGGCTCTTGGCCTTGACCTAAGGTATTATTTGTTTTGTAGGTGCAATTTTGTCCAAGATCAAGGAGGAAGAAATTTTCATCCACAAATTGGTGCTTTCATTGAGAGTTGAGATTCATACTTGTAGAAGACTCTCGCATAAAAAGGCTAAATGTGGTCATAGGCGAAGTGGTACCACCACTACGAGGTTCCACCATGGCCTAAGCCGTGCCATCCAAGCTTGCACAGGTTCTAGCCCAAGCCTCGCATTCGCATGTATCACGCACTGAGCAGCCTGCTCCCGCCGAGCAGCCCACTCCCGTAGCCCAGCCTGCTCCCGCCGAGCAACCTGCTCTCGCGGCCCAGCTTGCTCCCGCCGAGCAGCCTACTCTCGTGGCCCAGCCTGCTCCCGACGAGCAGCTCACTCTTGTGGTCCAGCCTGTTCCCGCCGAGCAGCCCACTCTCGTGGCCCAGCCTGCTCTCGTGGTCCAGTCTGCTCCCGTGGCTTTCCAAGTAGCCCAAGTCGGCCTAAGACCATCTCAACTATCCGGACCTACCATCGAGCCAAGGGCATACTCACCATATTTTTTCACAGATTTAACATTTACTAACTCAAATCTCGCCCCCAGAGTCTACCACCCTTCCACTGCCCAAGGAGGCACATTCTTTCAAAGCTCTTCCAATCCAAGTGGTGAACAACACTTGTCTCAACAAGTCATAGAGTTGACGAGCGCCCTTGCACAGAAGATGACTTTGGTGAACCAGCTCTTGCAGCGCACCAAGATGCAACGTGCCCCAGACAAGGTCTCCTGAAGTAGGACAAGGGTAGACGAAGAACCTCTCCAACAGCGTCCCGGTAAGCAGCCACTCGACTAGTTACGAACCAAGTGTTCGAGCAGTGTACACTCCCGACTAGGCCCTTGAGATAACGTATACTCCCGTCTTAGCGCGCAGAGGAGCGTGCACTCTTGATTAGGCCCACGGACGAACATACATTCACGGTTGAGCAACCTTCCAGGCGAAATGTTAATTCGTGGCTAAGCCCGTAAGGAGCATCATCCACCTCACCTCGGAGTAGGCAGCACGACAGACAGAGAGAAACAGTCACTCAATACTGCTCAAGTTCAACTAGCAGCCTGCGAAGAACTCGCTCGCCTACTAGGAACGCGCTACACGCACCGCATCCGCGACATAGACAAGCCAAACACATGGAAGAACAGCCTAGACCAGCAAGTCACGGTTGGGGGCAGCCGAGAGCTTCACTACCTCAACAAAGGCAAATTCAAGAAGAAGTAGAGAGACTCTTGACCAAGCAATTGCGCACTTTCCAAAAAAACGAGGTTATTGACGAGGCATTATAACGGAACATGACCAACATAAGTAGGTTACCCTTCACAGATGAGATCGAGCAAGCAGAGCTTCCACGCGAGTTCAGCATGCCACATTTCATATATTTCAAAAGGGATGAAGACCCGGAGAGACACTTAAAGCACTACCGAAACGCAATGATCCTCTATCGAAACAACGATGATCTCATGTGCAAGATATTCGCCACCACCCTACAAGGCGAGGCATAAGATTAGTTCTACACCCTGCCGTCACAATCTATGCAGAATTTCAACGAACTTTCTTTGGTTTTCACCAAAGAATATTCATCCTGTCGCTCGATCAAAAAAAGTCTGACCATTTGTTCGATGTCAAGAAGAACCCAAAAAAGTCGCTTCGCGACTATGTGAGAAGGTTCAAAGCAGAGAAGGCAAGGATAGTCGGATGTAATGACTCGATAGCTAGAGCAGCCTTCCAAAAAGAACTTACAACAGACCACCCATTGTTCAGAAAACTGATAATGAAAGAAGATCTAACTCTGGTAGACTCTTTCGCTCTGGCAAAAAAGCATGCACTTTGGGATGAAGTTCGCCGATGCCCATTTAAGGCAAATCCGAGCGATCTTGAATATGAAGTTCCCCACTACTCTGAAGGAGATTCAAAGTCTGACTGGATGAGTAGTCGCATCTGAAGCAGAAATAAGCTCTACCATCATACGAGAAGAGCTGGGGGCCCGACTACCTGTATTCCACATTTTAAAAGCTCTCATTGATGCTTTTAATTGTATTCCACAATTTAAAAGCTCTCATTGATGTTATCAGAAATTCAAAAGCTAACTTTGGCTATAGTTGTTGCAACCCGGAAGCTCAAGTTTTACTTTCAAATGCATGCAGTCATCCTCATGACGTACTATTCCACCCAGTCCAGACGTGCGACGATAAAGGCATAGACCTTGGCGGATGCAAAGTTTTCTGACGAACACAACAACTCGGCCCAAAAGACACGCCAAAGGTAGACGAACACTGGAAGGACACACTCGGAAGCAAGTTTTATCCTCGTCATGTATCGGCAGTTGAGTACCACTTCCTGCTGCGCACCACATGACCTTAGCCGACCCTTGCTCAATGATTCAACTCTAGATTGGCCCAATACCGGCAGTTGAGCATCTCTTGCTGCGTGTGACATGGCCCCATCTCCACAGCTCCCTATTGCGCCTGCAAGTCGAGCCTAGGTGACGCAACAGAGCGACCCAATGATGCCTCGAAAGTAGTAGAGCACACTCTAGCTGCGCTTGCTCCACCCGATGGAGACTTCTGGCATTTACACCTCGACGGCGTATCTAACTACAAAGATTCAGGAGCAGACGTGGTCCTTGTCACCCCAGGTGGTTCGATGCCCGAATAGGCGATCATTCTAGGTTTCAAAGCATCCAACAACGAAGCAGAGTACGAAGCCCCACTAGCAGGCCTTCGAATGACAAAAGACTTGGCGGTGAAAAAGCTTTCAATTCATTCCAATTCCCAGCTAATCACCAGCCAGACTACTGGGGGCAAATGCATGATGATTGTGGCAACCGACTACTTCACCAAATAGGTAGAAGCGGAGCCCATGATAATCACGATTCAGATGGATATAGAGCGCTTCATATGGAGGAACATCATTTGCTGATTTGGCATCATTTAATCCATCATCACCGACAAAGGCCTGCAATTCGTAGGCAAAGATTTGGCGAAGTTCTTCAAAAAATATGGCATCAAGCAGCATATGTCTACACCAAGATATCCTTAAGGCAATAGGCGGGCCAAAACATCCACCAAGATTATCATCGACTGCCACACGAAATCCTCACCAGCAAGAAAAGAAAATGGCCACACGAACTCCATAAATGTCTATGGGCATATCGCACCACCAAAAGACGAACAACC